CAATTTTATCCTTTAAATTGAAAATAACCACTGAGCGGTCGAGACGTCGTCCCTTTTTAACGTAAATTTTTATAGTAAAATACTTAACATGTCATCTTCTTTTGGAGGGCTGAAGAATACCTGGATGATTCAGTTTAAAAGATAAAAAAATTGTTAATTTAGATGCAAATATTAGTTAATTCAAGTTCCAATCGAGCTTTTACACATTATTTATCAACTATTAGATTCTACACATTGAATGCTTGTTTTTCGTTCTTCAACATTTGACAACTTTAAGATTAAATGATACCCCTACGGATGGTGCGGTGGATAAAGGAATATTTGTCAAGTTTGAAGAAAAACTACGCAGCGCATTCTTTTTATTTGCAACGAATACCCTGGAAGCCAATAAATATTATCATAAATAGATCATTTGCTACCTTGGCAAAAAATTAAAAACTATTGAAATGATTAATATTGTGTATAAAGATATATGTCAACAAATTGTATCTCAACATTACAGCACCTTTCTCTTTCAGAAAAGTTTCTATTGCTTTGAAACCGGTATTAGTCTTTTTTTGTCTATGAATACAAATTTATCGTGTATTTTGCACGAAGTTATCTGAGAATTCAGCTCTTCGAATTTTTAATTTTCTATCTATTGCCTTGAAAACTACTTACCTTTGCCATGAGGGTACTTCTCCTTAATTCACATGCTTCTATTTGATTTAATTAACTCCTTAAATCCATTTAAAATTTCCTAAGGACAATTCTCAGGAGAACATCTAGAGCTACGGCTGAACACGTTAGACGATGGTGTCGAAACTCTTGTTTTATTCATTGGCCACGCTCGAAGTGGTCATAGTCTCATCGAGGCAATTTTGGATGCTCACCTACAGATTATCAATAACAACGAAAAGTTATATAAGCGCATGATAAAAATTATATCCTTCAAATTGAAAATAACCACTGAGCGGTTCAGATGTAGTCCCTTTTTAACGTTAATTTTTATAATAAAATACTTAACATGTCATCGTTTTTTGGAGGACTGAAGAATACCTGGATGATTCAGTTTAAAAGAAAAAAAATTGTCAATTTAGACGCAAATTTTAGTCCATTCAAGTTCTAATCGAGCTTTTATGCATTATTTATCATTTATTGGATTATACATATCGAATGTTTGTCTTTCGTTGACGGGAACATTTCTGTTAATTTATGTTTTTCTCTTACGACGTTTTCGATGATCACAGTTGACACACTTTAACATTCACAGAATATCATCAGGAGCCAAACTCAAATAAAGTGTATAGCGCATGAACAAACAATAACACGCAGGCAGTTATTTGATGGTCACCTAGTGGGCTCTAGACCGATGAAAAACAAAGAGCTAATACACTCAAGGAGTCTTCATGAAGGACGATAAATAATGGGTTATAAAGAAGGCTTAATTGGGATGCAACTCAATGCCTGTCTCCTCCACCAAACCCATCAAATGTGCGAATATTTGGTAAATTAT